GCTTTTCCTGTTAGGCTGAGGGCTGGGGTTTAGAGGTTAGGGTTTCCGTGCCTTCTTCTCAGTGGCCTTACCCTTTTCTCCAAATTATATCTGTTCTTCCTTCCTTTTTTTGTTTGCTATTTCTGTTTTCTATCTGTCTATGGCATTTTGCATGCATACTTCCTCTTGCTTCCACTGTTTCATGGAGCCTATGGTCGCTGTCACGTCTATTGTACATATTCTAATACCCTACACTGTTCCTGAACTTGAACATGTGGTGATGGTTTATTTTTATGTATATCCTTCTGTGGTTGCTTCTCTTTTCTTTTGTTTTCTTTGATTGTCTTTGTAACGTTTATAACTTCATTCCGGCTGTTTCCTGTTGCTACTGCAGAAGCTGTCAAAGAGCAAAGAAGACACATCGCTCGATCTCTGCGCGCCTTAGAAAGACAACACCAAAAGGCAGAGGCAGAAGAACAAAAGCTCTTAACACAGCTTAAGGCACAGGCGGTGGCGGGGGTAATCTAAACCCTAAACCCTAAACCCTAAACCCTAAACCCTAAACAGCCTAAACAGCCTCAGCCCTAAACCTTACTTCATAGACTCTGAAGCATCACACAATAAACCCTAATTTCAAAACTGTAGGCCGTCATGCGTAGACCCTAAACCCTAATTATTTAAGCTGGCTTGAGCTGTGGGGTTTAAACTGGTTGCAGCACATCAACAAACTGCAAACGAAAGAACTCCTCCTCCTCAGACGACGGCGGGAGGCAATCCTGAGATGCAAAGCTCAGCTGGGAACAGCTGACCTCCAGGCAAACCCTAAACCCTAAACCCTAAACCCTAAACTCTAAGCCCTAGGGGACGAACGATGTTGCGCAAGATACGGCCCTCCAGGGCTATCTGCGCTCCCCCCTGTTATCCTGCAGCAAGAAGAAGGAAGTTAGCCCTTGATGATAGGCATTTAGGGTTTAGGGTTTAGGGTTTAGGGTTTGCATTGGGCGTCGCAGGTCCAACAGCAGCAAGCAACTCAGGAGCTGCACAGACACTTCACGGGATGCGCGAAGGTGCGAGGCGAAGCGCCTCCCTACATTTAAACCTTAAACCCTAAACCCTTAACCCTAGTTAAGAAGGGGAGAGTGTGCCTGAAGGTTTAGGATTTGTGCTGCTGCTGCTGTTGCTGCTGCTGCAGCTCCTCTCTCTCGCCAACAAGGCTGCTGATCTTCAAACGATGCAACTGGCTGTCAAGGGCTTCACCCGAGAGTCCCAGAAGTTGGGCTTGCTGGTACTAAACCCTAAACCCTAAACCCTAAACCCTAAACCTTAAATCCTAACGGGCAAACCTAAACTAAGCCTAAACCCTGAACCCTAAACCCTGGGCCCTAGACCCTGAACCCTAAACCCTAAACCCTGAACCTTTGCTGTCGCGTGGTGTTCTTCAGGATGAAATGCTAAACGAAGTCCTCGAAGATGGAACAGCGAATTTTGTCAGCACTCCTCAAAACATAAACCCTAAACCCTATACCCTAAACCCTAAACCCTAAGCCCTATCTCTTGAAGTATAGACCCGTCCTCTCAGACATCAAGCGCTAGCTAGCCCCTATCCCCTAAACTGTAAACGCCAAGTCTCGCCAGCAGTTGCTGCTGGCTGAGTAGTATTTAGGGTTTAGGATA